AATATGTTTCAACATTGGCTGCCATTTCCCTGCTGCATTTTGCTGGGATCCTTGAGGGGGAAATGTCACTGATGGGGTGTGTCTTCTACCCTGATCTTTTAGGGACTTCATTGTTGGAATTTTCTTCTTGAGAAAACCAAGGCTCCAGCATGAAGAACTGTGGGTCCTCCTCATCTTGGCCTCAGGGACCCTCTGTGTTGGGGGGGCTCTTCCTAGCAGATGCTAGTCCTTGCTGGCTTTGATGAAGCAAGCTACTGTATCATGAGTTCCTCTAACGAGAGGTCCACATGGCAAGAACTGAAGGGACCTTCAGGCAACAGCCAGCAAAGAGCTGAGGCCCTCAGTCCATCTGCCCGCAACCATGTGAGCTGGGAAAGGGACCCTTCCCTGGTCAAGCCTTCAAATGAGACCCCAGCCCTGACCATTAGTCGTGAGAGGCCCTGATGTAGAGGACTCGGTCAAGTTACACCTGGATTTACAACCCACAAAACTGAGATAATGTGTTTTTAGCCACCGAGTTTGTGATAATTGGTTCTGAAGCAACAGATAACAAACATACCTTGTCTTAGAAACACTCGTTCATGCATTCAACAAATATTTACTTGCCAGGCACTAGGACAGGTGCTCCACATACATCAGTGAACAGAGTAAAATTCTTGCTCTCCTGGTGGGCAAACTCTAGTGTTCATGTGTGTGTGAGTGTTGGACAGTAGACATAATAAATATGTTACATGGTTATACAGTTACATCGTATGTTACACGTATCTACACAAGTACCATGGGGGAGGAAGCAGGGTGAAGAGGATGGGAAGGGGTTGGGAGTTTGCAATTTTAAAGCTCTCTTGAGAAAGTGATGCTGAGAAACATTTCAGGGTGTAAAGGTGAGAGCCATGAAGTTATCTTTGGGAAGAGTGCTCCAAGCATAGGGACTAGGCAGTGCAAAGGCCCTGAGGCTGAATCACTCCTGGACTGAGCTAGGAGCAGCAAGGGGGCAAACTGGAACAGAGTGGGCGAGGGGAAGGGTGGTGGGAGCTGAGGTCAGAGGCACAGGGCCGGGGCAGGGAGACCACGGAGACCCTCACGGGTGCTGCGCGAACTTTGCTTTTACTCTGAATGAGATGGGGACTCTCGGAGAGGTTGAGCGCAGCAGTGATGTGGTCTGCCTCAGATTTTTTAGAGAATCTTCCCCTACTAATCGCTGGCGACACCCAGTCCCTGCTTATCTGTGCAAATCGAAGCAGCGCACGCATCTGGCTACCCTAAGCCAAGAGACTTGCCCTTATTTTTAGGTGGTTTTCTCACTCATTTTCCTTAGCAAAGCCTCAGCTCCCAGCCATTCTGACAGCCCAGCTCTGCCTCCCCCACCTCCTCCAGTCTTCACCTCGTGATCTCCTCCACACAGTGCAGTGCCCTGCACCCCGTCCTGGGTACCACAGGCTTTGTGCACTGGATCATAAGCTCTGCCGGGCGGGGTCCAAGGCTTTTCTTTCTTCCACATCCTCCCCCACCTCCTCTAGCTTGAGACAGGGCTGCACAAGCAGGGCTCCGTCAGGCTGGCTCCTGTGCCCCACCAACTCGCCTCCTGGTCTCACAGCCCCTGCTGTCCTCCCAGAAGTTCTATGAACAGTTGTACGTGGCTTTTAATTTCACACACCCAAATGAGGTTCTTGGGGCAATAGTAGCAAATCTTTAAATAAGAAATTGGAAAGAAAATAACCAGAATTACTAATTGTGTATGAATGTTTCTTTTTTGTTAGTAAGCCACCCTGGCGCCAACAGGAGTTGAGAGGCCGTGGGTGGAGGCCAAGGAAAGCAAAGGAGGTTTTGCCCTCCATGACCCGACTTCTACCTAATTTTGAATGTTTCCTACAAAGGGTTTCCAAATATGAGTGGCTCAGGGCCACAAGCCTGGAGGTGATCCCTGTTGATGCCTCCAGCCCTCTCTCTTTTCAGAGACCACATGTGGGGTGCAGGGCCTGGGCCTCACTTGCCTTGACTTGTACCTGGCTCTCAGGTGACTGTACACCCCCAGGTCTTCCTGGTCCCAGGCCCCTGATGCCTCACACACTTGATGGGAACCAGGTGACAGCTTCAGCCCAAGGTGGGGACTAGGGTGAGGCCAGTGAGGCCAGGGCAGGTGCTTGGGGCCCATGTTCAATTTAATGTTCTGCTGTCCCTGTCTTAAAATTCTTAACAACTTCTGAACAAGGGAACTTGCATTTCCGCTTTGCCCAGGCCCTGCATGTATATGTAGCTGGTCTGCATCACTGAGGTTTTGGCGTCCCCTCTAACTTCCCACTCGTCAGTGGCTCACTGGCCTCCTCCAAGCCCGGGCGCTGCTACAACCTTCTCTCCAGAAAACACAGTTCTGCAGGGCCACCCAGGCCGCCTGTGGCTTCATGGTGTTTGTGGAGTCCTGAAGACTTACCAGGGATGTCCTCCTGGGCTGCTCAAGACTGAACCTCCCCCAGGCAGCCTCCAGCCCTACTTCCTGTCCTGTGTCTGCTTCACACCAGGGCAGCGCGGTGGGGCAGCCCTTCTCCCAGCTGTGTACGGGCTCCACGCAGCCATCCTCCCATGCAGGAGGAATGTTTCTGCAAAGATGAACAGCCAGTCGGCCAAGCCCAGGGCCTCTGCACTAGGGAAGGCACTGCCCGTCCCTTAAGGTCTTGGAGGGCAAGGCCACCAGAGGGACCCGAGGGGATACTGCAACACAGTCTTTGAAAGTTCACCTTTAAATACAGACCACACTTTACGTGTCTCTGTGAATGAAAAATAAAGCAACCCATATCAGTAAACAGAGAATGCTGAAGCCATCAAATCATCAGCCGCTGCCGCCACCCCCCCAGTGAATACAAGCCTGCAACCTGGCCTCTGCAGCCTGAGGGGATCAGAATGTGAAAGGACAAGATACTGGCTAGGTGCTTGTCAGAAGATTTAAATGAGCCCAAACGTTTGCTCCTTCCCATACACAGAAGAGCACTAAATTCTTTGAGATGTCTGGTTTTCTTTAACAGTAATTTTTAATGTTCTGACTACAGGGTCTTTGTTGTAAAACTCCCATAATAGCCTGGCTCCTCCCGTACCTCTTTGGAGCAATCCTTCAGAGCGATCTGGGAGGCTGTCATCCTGGGCTCCAGGGATTCAAGTCTCAGAAATGTCTGCAGAATAAAACATAAATCTCAGCTTCTAGGCTGCACATTTATTTCAGTCTACACTCCCTAAAGGAGGCTACTCCACCTGCATACGGGGCTTCTGTGGGTCACCTGGAGACAGGCATACTGAGGGCAGGGCACCGGACCAGAGGCCAGCCTGCAGTGGTGACAAGAGCTCACACCCGGGGCCCAAGCACCTGGGATCAGGCAGGTGCTGGGCACCTGTGCCATGCTTGGGGTGCACGTGCGCACTCTCCGCGACCCCGGCCTGCGCCCCAGGGAAGAAGGCAAGGGGCGGCCGCGGG